GCCCTCAGCAGTGAAAGTGTGGAGTCCAAACCACTGGATCACCAGGGAATTCCCAAGGTAGATGTCTTTAATGGGGTTGTCAGAGGCTGTAATATACAAATGTGTAGCCTGATGTGAACCTCCAAGAGCGGGACCTCACCTCCACAGTCCCCCACGTATTTCCTGACCAGAGCTCCTTCAGGCAGCTGTTTAGGGGACAAGGGTGATGCAGGTCACACCCTGAGGGACATCTCATCCCACAGTGTAAGGAGCTGAGATTTAAGAGATAAAATGTCTTGTCCAGGTGGCATGTGACAGAGTCAAAGCTAAAACCCACATTCCTGGCACTTCCCCGCTGGTCCAGTGGTTAGGGCTCTGCCTTCCAATGCAGGCGGCATGGGTTTGATCCCTGGTCAGGGAACTAAGATCCCACATGCTGTGGGTGTGGCCAAAATCTTAAAAAAAAAAAAAAAAACCCCACAAAATACCCCACCTTCGTGATGCACAGCCCCGTGCTCCATCCATGTCACAGAGGTGGGATCTAGTCCCCATTCTGAAAGGAGGAGACACCAAGCACAGCCTTCTTGGAGGCTAATTAGTTACAAAGATCAGACTGGAATCCTGGTCTCTTGAATTTCAGCCTGGAACAAAAAAAGAAAGCCCACAGCATTGGGGCACTTAGAAGTTCAGACCTGCGTACAGGAGTGATATATTTTTAGCGCCTTTAGGTGACCCCTGAGAAGATGAATCATCACTGCTGTGGCATGCCCGGTGAAATGATTCCATCAGGCCAAGCATGAAGTCCCAGAGCCAGCGGATGCTGGAGACCATTCAAAGGGTTGGGCTACACCCCAGGGCTTCCTGCCTCCTCCCCTCCCCCCCATCAACAGGAAGTCCATAGATGAGGTTCACTTTCCCTGGGATGCAGCAGGTGTGCGGCCCCTGCAGGGGTTTGCTCCAAGACCGAGCCAGCCTTCTCAAGCTCAAAGCTTCAGCTACCCCTGGGCTGGGCTGTATTTAACCAGAGGGAAGCCCCATGGTTCAGGTTTGGCCAGTGCAAACCAGGCACAGCTGTCGGAGATCTGTCCGACTCACAGCTCGGGAAAGCCTTTGGGTGCAGAAAGGAGACAACCCTCTAGAGAGCAGTGATTCTCAACCGAGCATGCGTGAGACTCTCCAGGCGGGCTTATGAAAAACACGTCACTGGGGCCCACCCCAGGAGTGGCTGAGTCAGCTGATCTGGGGCGGGGCCTGAGAATATGCATTCCCAAACTCCCTGGGATGCAGGTGCTGCTGTTCCAGGGACCGCTGTTGGAGGACCCCTGCTCTAGGGCGCCTTCTGAAGGATGCCACGAGGTCTGCACACACAGAATTGCTCCCTGGTGGGCCTGAAATCAACACTACCTCTATGCTTACCATTTTATCCTCAATTGTAGAACCCAGTTAGGGAGGTTTCTATCCGGGCGCTCAATCTGTAGCTATCTGGGAGACTAACACAGGAAACTCAGAGAACGGGGTGAATTACCGCTCTCGTATTTTAAACACATTTAATGAGATGTAATTCACATATCATACAATGCAAAGACTTTTCATATAGTCACAGATGTGTGCAACTACAACCATTGTCAATCTTAGGGCATTTTCATCACCACCGAAAGAAACCCATACCCTTTAGCTCCTGCACCCCTATCCTGTCTCATCCCCGCCCCAGCCCTAAGCAAATACTAATCTACTTTCTGTTTCTAAATTTGCCTGTCTGGCCACTGCATATAAACAGAATTCTACAATATGCTGTCCTTTGTGCCTGGCTTCTTCGGCTTAGCATAATGTTTTCAAGGTTCATCCACATCATCACGGCAGCGCTTCATTCCTGTTCGTGGCCAAGTAATATTCCATCATCTTGCTAGACCACATTTTGTTTATCCATTCACCCATTGTCGGGCTTTAATTTTTGCAGTGAATAGTTGATTGGTTATTTGTTTAAATTCATAGAACTCTACACACACACAGAGTACATTTTACTGCAGGTTATTTTTAGAAAAGGACATAGGCGGCTTCTACCTCTTATTATCTCTTAGAACAGGGCTGCCTTGAGCCAGCAGGCGGGAACTCCTCAGCCTTCTCTGAGACCACTCTGTGGGAAAGGCCAGGGGTGCAGTTATAGGTCCCAGGTGAAGCCAGCCTTCCCCTTCAAAGCAACGACACGAGTGAGGTTGTAATACCAAGGGACCCCGGCTGGAGCCACGTGGAACAGTAGTATCTCCTAGTTGAGCCCCACACCAATTCCCGGCCGACAATATTGTAAAATATAATTAAGTTGTTTTGAGCACCAGCAATAGGGAGCCGGGACAGCTGGGGTGTGTTCCCACGGGGGTTTATCGGGGAGTCTCTGCTCTCGGCCCCCATCACTGGAGCGGATGGCGGTGATGGCAGAGGCCTCCTGATGGGTTTCCGCTGCTCAGGTGCTCTGCGATTTGCCCCCAGCTCTCTCTCGTTCAGCGCCTTTTTTTTTTTTTTTTTTTTTTGCGGTACGCGGGCCTCTCACTGCTGTGGCCTCTCCCGTTGCAGAGCACAGGCTCCGGATGCGCAGGCTCAGCGGCCATGGCTCACAGGCCCAGCTGCTCCGCGGCATGTGGGATCTTCCCGGACCGGGGCACGAACCCGCGTCCCCTGCATCGGCAGGCGGACTCTCAACCACTGCGCCACCAGGGAAGCCCTCGTTCAGCGCCTTTTGTTCCCCTGACCTGCCATGTGAACTCCCCGTGCAGAGTTTGAAAAAAAAAAGCTTTGCTGAGATATAACTCACACACATAACATCTGCCCATCTAAGGGTACGGTTCGATGGGTTTCAGTGCGTTCTGACGCTATCCCTACCTGACCTGGGTTTGTTGGTCTGTTTCTCCCACTGGGATGTAAGTCCTTGGGGAGGACGTCTTGCTGTCTGTTCAGCACCGTATCCCCCCCACCCCCCTCGGTGCCTGCCTGGCACAAAGCGGACACCTAGTGACTATGTGGCAGCTTTGTGAGAACACTCAGAGTTATCAAGCTCCACGGAGGACGTAGGTAGGTCCTTGAGACAGTGGCCTTGGCCTCAGCCGACATGTGGCGTGGACCTCTTCTGTAGGTGGATCTGAAGAGATGGGCTTGGGTCCTCAGTCTCCCCTCCCCCAGCCCCCTGCAGACTTGCCTGTCCTGCACCCACTGCCTCTCTGCTAATTCTGCGTTAGGGACAGCATCTGTGCCCGTGGTTGAGTGAAAGCTAACGGCTTCCCTCATTAGCCCCTCAGCTCACATATTTGCATCCCAGCACGGCCTTCTGGGGACATAATATCCCACGCAGGGAACTTACATGGTGATCATTTTCAGGTAGTTGAAAAGAGCTGGGTCTGAGTTGGCAGACTCGGGTTAAAATCCAGCTCCAGACGTAGCAGGCACCTCTGGGATCCGACACAGACCCTCTGTCGTCCTCTGATTCCACTACAGGGTGGGCCCCGCTGGCCTCAAGCTGACAGCATCCCCCTCTGTCACCCACGGTGCTTCTTTTTGCCCCAAGTCCTCCCAGACACTGAAGAGCCAGTTCGGTGAGCAGAGCAGCCCCAGGGCGGAGGTGGTTAGGGCCTCTGGGAGCTTCCGCCCTGCTTCCTTGGGCAGAGGATGTGTGGGAACACACGGGCTCCTGTGGGATTTTCCAATTCATTGATACCCACCCGCCCCCCCCTTCCCGCCAAGAGGTGCCATCTCTGTCACCCCCGCCACCTCCAATCTGTGGGGCCTTTGTGATGCCCTCAAGCAGCAGGATGGAGCAGCCACTTGGCCGCTGCCAGTCGCACTTGGCACACGCTCTCTGGGAGACTCTGGCTGCCAGGTAAGAAATGTGGTAGGGCCAGCACCTGGAGGGACCAGAGAGAGACCCGTGGGATGGGGCAGGGGCAGGGGGAGCAGAGCAGAGGGAAAGGAAGGAGGGGGAGGGGCAGTGAGCCTCCAGGAGCCGCCACCTGGCCGGGACTGTGTGAGACCCAGGTGAGCGCTGCTTACCTGAGCGCAGGCAGCCCTCGGATTTCTCAACAAAAATAACTGATGCTATGGCTTCAAGCCACGGCGTGGCGGCGGCGGGGGGGGTGGGGGGGGGGGGTGGGGCTCCTACTCAGCCATAGATAAAGCACCCGATGAGCAGCCTTTCCTCCTTCCTGGTCTCACTGGGGTTCCTGGGAACAGGAGGACCAAGCCCTCATCTAAGGCTCTCTGTCCAAGAAGACCCAAACCAAGATGAGTGCGGACCTGCTGCGGAGATAAGGTAATTGCGCTTGGGTAAGATAATTAGCTCGAGCTCTGGGTGCTTTATCCGGAAAAGGGGAGGAGTATCGTTTCTAACCTAAGATTCTTCTGGAAATGAAAGAATCCAGGCGAATTTAGCATCTGGTAGCCGGTGTCCCGTTTGGGGCAGCTCACTGGCTCACAGGCGAATTCGAATCCAGTTTCCACGTGCGATATGCACGGCAGGTACTTCCCACCATCCACCCAAAGCTGAATTGCCAAACGCTGCGGGAAGAAACGCCCGAGGCCGTGACTGGGCTTGTCTGCTTGCCGGTGGCCGTGCAGGGGAGCCGTCTTCCCCTTCTTGGGCCCCAAGGGCAGTCAAGGGACTCTGTTCTTATAGAGATGTTATTGTGTCTTTCTGATAAACATAACCCATTCCTTGTCTGTTTTTCTTTTCCTATCAAATTACCCCAACTGACACAAATTGAAGCAAATAGTTTCAGTTCCGGTCACAGGACTTGGGGCTGCAATCAAGGATCTGAATGAAATTCCTGGTAAAATACAGTAATTAGAAGCACAGTGAGAGCAGAATCGAAACGTCCCAGCCTGCCGTGACACTGAAAGGCAGTCTGGTTAATTTCCAAATTATATCTGGGCTCAACATGCAAGGGGTCCTTTTTCATTTAGGCGGAGAAAATAGGACTTAAGATTATTACAATACCCACACAAGACTAAGGGATATAATTATAAAATAAGCCAGACCCTAGCAGGCAAATCATGTTTAATGTGTTGTGAGAATCGAATCTTCTTTATGGAATTAAAAACAGAGGGGGGAAAAATCAACGTGCAGAAAATTAATTAAAGAAGAGGTAAGACACAGAAAAGCTTTGGGTGTCATACAAATACAAAAGCAACAAATTAAAAAAAAGAGCACACACGTAATTACAGATTTCGGTAACATTAGTAGCCAGAACATACCCAGTGAATTATCAATACTTAATCATCAAAGATCTTACTCATTTTGCAAGGGGGCTGGTAGTGATGATGGATTTCAGCGGGTCCAAAGGACTTTTCCTTCCATCGCAAGCAAACCTGTAAGGACGGCTCAAGTAACTCTGAAAAGTGGAGTTCCTTTTCTCAAAGAAAACTGACACGGGAGGGTTCTTCTCCTCCGCCCCACTCTACCACCAAAATTTGTACATTCATTCAACTCTTTTAACTAAGGCAACCAAAAGACAATTTCTTGAGACCCCCAAACACCCTGCGAAGCCACAAATTCTACCCGTGTAAAAAGGGGAAAAAAAAAAAAAGAAATGAACGAGCTCCAAAACTAAGGGCAGTCACTCTGCAAAGTGCAGGATGGTTCACTGTTAACAGCTTTTGTGGATTTCATGTTAAAATGTCTCTTTAAAAGGAGGCGTGGACGGGAGTGAATCAAGACCCAGCCATGCCCTGGGTTGAGGAACGACCTGTACTGGACAGGTGATATATGGATCAGCCCTCAGGTATCTTTTCAACTCTGCACACTGCTGAGGTAGGACCTTTGGAAGAAATGCACAACATCTCAGGGCGTTGAGTGTCTTCATCATAAAGCACTGCCCTTCTGCTCAGCTGGGGGGCCCAAGACAGTCACACTCCCGGGCCACGTGTGCCCTTACACAATTCAAGAGTTTGTATCAGATCGCAGCCACGGACGAGAGTCACAGCCACAGGAGGTGGGCGAGACCCTGGTGCTGAACCGGGGACGCCTGCTGTCTAGCGCAAGCTCGAGGGGTCGGGGGGAGGTGGAGAACCCCGGCAGGCAACTACAAAAGGTTATTAGCAAATGGTATCAAAAAGTATCAAAACATTTCAAAAAACTTTAAAAACTGCCAGGCTTGGCGGACACACAGGGCAGGCTCTCTAAGCACCTGGAGGGCTGCCCTACATTTCAGAGGTTTATCCTGGAGATGGGGACTCTGCCCCCTTTCCCTCTGAAGATGCTCAGAATCTCCAGAGAGACAGCAAGGATGTCCACGCCACATGGCTGGAACTGCCCCTCCAGGTTTGGGACCAGTGGTCTGAGATTCTAGCCAAAAGTTCCGAGAGCCAAAAGCTAAGTGGCTGGCAGAGCCACGTGCCACGGAGGACCAGGGTAAGAGGCGGAGGCTGCTAAGTCTACAAGGGGGTTGGGGTGGCAGGGTGCCGTCCTTTCCCTTCCCCCACGGCTGCAAATCACCCAAAGGTCACTCCTGGCTTAGGGGCCAGGCACTTTGAGCCACAGGTGAACTCACCTGAACTCAGAGTGGGACCTGGGAGGGACTCCACTTCCCTTTGGCATTTGGGTTCCCATCCCAAATTGAACACCCTTTAGGGTTGGCTTCTGGGGTTCCTATCATTCAGGTCGACTTATTCAGGGTCAAGGGGAGGGGCATTCAGAATATAAATACACACATGAGGTTTTCTGCTCAGATCAAGATCTAGAAGGAGTCCTACCTGGTACTCTAGATTTCTGAAGCAGCAGGATGTTGAAAATACGAATTGAGCCATACACACAAGCAAGGTGCTGAGATAATCTCTGTGTATTTTAAACAGCAGAAGGACCACTGTAAGGAACGAGGATTCTTCAGCTTTTCTACTCTGCTTAAGCAAACAGGGTTCCAACTTGGGTGAGGATCAAACTCAAAACCTACCACTAATATGAAGTTAAAACTCTAGTTCTTTAAAAGAAAAAAATCAGAACCTGAATAAAAGCCCACCAGGCTCATTCTGAAAGATCAAAGTAAGATGATCCAAACATCGTCAAAGTTCTAGCAGAACAGCTCGGAGCGCTGAGTTTGACAGAATCATGGCAAAAGTTGCGGTTTCTGTCTCAACATGGCAGCCAGGAGAACCCAAGCCTGCATCACCATGGTTTGAAATCACACTATCGTGGTTTTGCAGTTCTAATGGCCACCTGCATAAGTACATCCCCAAGCTCTGCCCGCCTGGGTTACAAACCATTTTCTTCCGATCTTAGCTGCACTGCACGGCACGGTGATGTCCATCTTAAAACCACAGACAGATGAGACCTGCTACAGTCCCACCACTCTGCTCTCCCTCATCCAGGCAGGCGCAGCTCACGGGTCAGGACCCTGCGCTCCACGGACGCCAGTGAGCTCGAAAACCTTTCTTAGCGCAGTGGAGCCGCTGCCAATTATCTGAAGTTCGTCTCCAAAAGGAAACTTCCTCGTCAACCCTACCTTTAAAGGAACACTCACCGTCTCAATCATGTTAGATTCCAAGGCGTGTAAATTACAAACATCCTTCACAGTGGTAAGGGAGACACCACAGAATAGTCGGTGCAGGACATGGTATGTTAACCCGCAAGGCACAAGAAAATCAGAATAGAGGCCAGCACTGCACCCTTATCCTGGGACACGTCCTGGAAGTCAAAAACACAACAGCTGGCTTAGGCTAAAAATTCGTGCCTGTCCGCTTCCCAAGGTCAAGGCCTTCCCCACTCCCCAAAGCACGCATGGCCGTTCCGTGTGCTCAGCCCAACCTGCCCCTGGATTCTGACTGAACGACCACCTCTCTGCTCATGACCTGGGCTGAGGTGGGGAGAACAGACCACAGGTTCTGTGCCTTCTAAAGGGTCTTCAAATGATGAAACCTTTCCTGGAACAGGAAGGGGGTAAGCTTATCCCAAAATTGGCAGTAGTTCTGCAAAACATGTTTCGAGGAGGGCTGGACTAGGTTTGAGGTAAAAGAAGGGTTTCGGGCTCAATGAAGTTTGGAAATGCTGGGTTGATGGAGGGTTAGCAGTTAATGCAGGACTCCTCAGAGCCTTTAATACACCTAAATGTTGTTTTAAAGAGCTCCAGGAAGATGGACAGTTTTTTGGTTTGACTGTTTGTATGCCTTGCAGAACCTCTCAGGAGTCTGGAAGCCTTTAGCGACTTCCACAGGCAGGGAACCAGCTAAATATGCAGACAGGTCGCCCGTCTCACGAGAGGGGGCAATCGTTTGGGTGCCGAAGCTTTCAACTCGCAAGTGGCTCTCAGCTCTCCCGGTTACTAGAGAAAGAGGCCGATCAAAATCACAGTAAACCTTTGAGAGAAAGGAAAGGAAGTGTAGTAAAGAGACAAAAAAGGGAAGAAGAAGTGAACTGAGATTCCCATTCTAATAGCAGTGTTAACGATGCATCTGGAAGTGTTCTCGTCTCCGCAGTCAGATCTGCGCCTCAGTATAGATCACTAAGGCCTCCCTTGGCTCGTGATTAAAACCCACCGTATGCCCATCGTCCTGGTGTGACACAGCGGCTTGGGCACGAGTCTCGAACTCTCCTCAAACGGCACACGCTACTGTTGTGAGTTCCGGTAACTGCAGGAACCGGGCCGGGCCGGTCACGCATCTCACGAGGAGGTGCGGAATCCACTTTCACAGCTTATATAGACTGAGAGAGCTGAACCCCGGGGAGGAGACCTGCCCATTGTTTCATCTGTCACTTAATGAAGGGGGAAACAGCTCATGACTTGTTAAAGAAGTTGGCGCCCAGCACACAACTACTCGGCAGCGGACGGCCGCAACCAGGATCTGGCGCCTGAGTCGAGGGAGATGCTCGGACAAACTTCCCTTGTTGGGGATCCACGGGCCCTCACTCACTCGTGTGGAGCTTCCCGTGGCTTCTCAGAGCTGGAGTCACAGAAAACAATGGCACATTCTGCGGGCTCCCTTTTTCTTTCCTGAGTGATGAATGGAGATCTGTGGGGCTCAGTACATCGTAATGTGAGAAACAGCGGGTTCCAGAAAAAAGAAACAGTAAAAAGACGAGAGCACAAATCACAGAATAAGGCGCCCTTTTTCACCGTTCTTCCTTGATTACCGATCCCCTTTTAGAATTCGGGAAGACCACCAACCAGGAGAAACAGGATTATTTAGAAGCAGCAGTCATCTGAGCAAGAAATCCCAGTGGGGAGACCTCCCTGGTGCGAAGTCCCACCGCTCGCCTGACTGCCGGCGAGCTGGTGGCTCTCGGTCACGCAGGCACCCTCTATGGGTCTCTGTGCTCCACCTGGCATGTCGCCCTTGCCAATGATTTCCGAACATGGCCGACGCTCAGTAGTCCCAGGGACCGGCTAAAGGAGTTTCTAGGCTCCCCTACACCACTCCTGGTAGTTTCAGACTCGATAATTCTGAGGCGGGGCTCAGGAACCCGTTTTCTTCAAAGCTCAGCCGGGTTTGCGGAGGCGTGGACTAGGGAATCCGTAATGTCCCACCGCAGCCCTTCGTTTCGATAGGAAAATTTCTGCGTCACCCCTGCCCTGGTTGCTCTCTGGGGGACCGTCGGGGGGGTCACCCATGGGGGTTCGCAACGTGGGAAGCAGCCCTGCACAGACACAGGGGTCGCTCCTGCCTGGGCCCCGCTTTAATTATTCAAGCAAGATAATATGTCAAGTCATACAGAATATTTAATCGGTTACTGTGATATCATAGAAATACCAAGAATCATAAAAGTAAAAAAAGCTGCTAAGTCGTTGATAATGGTTCCGGGATTCTACCAAGGGGCTGCTGGTCTCCAGACGCGCCGTAGGCGGTGGCGGCGGCGTCACTGGCCGCGGTCCTGCGGCCTCTTGCCCTTGCCCTTCTTCTTCTTGTCCTCCAGCCGTGGCTTCAGGGCGCACACGCAGGCAGACACGCCGGCGATGGCCTTGGGCAGGTCGGTGCCCTTGCTCCACTTGTCCTTCTCGCGGTCGTAGACCTGCACCGTCTTGGAGAAGGCCGTGTTCTCCCAGCTGTAGCCGCCCAGGATGTAGATGCGGCCCTCCCACACGGCCACCCCCGACTCGCTATTGGCGTGCAGCAGTGGTGCCACGCGGGTCCACTGGTTGCACTGCGGGCTGTAGGCCTCCACGCCCAGCACGTCGAAGCGCTCCATGGACTCGAGGCTGTCGTCGCTGCCGCCGATGGAGTAGATGCTGTCCCCCAGGCTGCACATGCTGTGCCAGCCACGCGCCGTGGTCATGGGCCGCCGTTCTTCCCACACGTCTGTCCGGTGGTCGTAGCACAGCAGGTTCTTGCGGTAGGGGCCGATCTGGTAGTCGTGGCCCCCTGAGATGTACACGAAGTCTTTGTAGATGGTGCCCGCGTGGCCGTACGTGAACCTGTGGAGAGACAGATGGATGGACGGACCGACAGAGACAGAGCGGGAGCTCAGTGCTGCACAGGCTGGGCCTCTGTGAGCCGGGGACCCGGTCTTCTCCTCGGCAACGTGGGGACAAGCTGCCCTCTGAGGGGGTGGTGAGGATGGGAGGGGGTGACAGATGGAGCAGGGCAGGTGACACACGGGCAGCTCTGCCCTCTCTCTGCCCATCTGAGAAGTAGGCATCATCACAAGACCGCAGCTGTCTCATTAGGGCTAGAAACGCTACGCCACTGAGGCACACGTGTGACCCTGGTCCCATCACACATCAAGCAGGGCCTGCAACACAGTGCAGCTCCAGTTACACGACAGTCTGGAAGAGTCAGCCCTAAAGGGACAGTAAATATCAGTGGCTACCAGCGGTTCAGGGGAAGCAGGGAGGGAAGAAAAGATGGAGCTTGAGGGATTCTTCGGGCACTGGGACTGTTCTGTACCACACTGTAATCACGGATACACATCATCACACACGTGTCAAAACCCGCAGAATGCACAACCCAGAGAGGGAGCCTAATGTAAACTAGAGAGCTTAGCTAATGTATCGACTTTGGTGCATTAGCTGGAAATAATGTACCAGTTACTGCAACGGGGGAAGCTGGGTGCGCTTGGCAACCTCTGTACTTTCTGCTCAATTTTCTCTACACCTAAAATCGCTCTGAAAAATGAGATCTATATAAAGACAAAGAAGAAATTACCAACAGCAAAAAAAAGTGCACACAAAGGTGGAACAAAAAGGGAATGGCGTCACGACATTCAGGACGGTGATTCCTTAGCTGGAGGCGGGAAGCAAAGGGATGGGAGAAGAGCACACGGGGCAAATGGGTCCCAGGCAGGTGGGCTACCGTGCAATGTCTTCGACTCTTGGGTTGGGCTGTGGGTTCGTGGAGGTCTCATTATACAAGTAAGTCAATGAATGAAAAAAGGTATCAGTAAACAAACGGAACAAATGTGGGGCATGCATGCCCTAATGACGGCAGCATCATGGATTACGTTTATTCCAACTCTGGGCATCGATGGTCCACTTAGAAAAAATAACGATAGGGTTGTTGTTGCAATTAAGGTACACAAACCACCCCGGCTGGCCTAGAGAAAGTGACAGTGGCAGATACTCTTATGTAATTAAGTCTCACTTCTCCATCTGTAAAGTGGGATGGTACACAAGACCTGAACCTGGGAGAACACAGGTCTTGGTTTGCCTAGGACAGGGTCAGGATTTATACGGTTGAGCTCTCCGTTCACGGTCATTCGGGTTTGGGTAATCAATGACATGGGTTATCACCCACCCCACTGGATCACTGTGGATATCAAGGGACTCATCACATCAAGCACATGGCCCAGGCTGGCACATGGTGATCAACAGCTACTATCACGATTGTCCAATCATCTTATCCACAGGTGTCCAGCTGTTACTTCATCGGCTTCTTGGAACCTTTACCTGAAGGTGGTAGTTACTGTGGGGTGGGGGGGAGGGGCGGGGACTGGAGGAGCCGTGCAGCTTCTACTACAGGGAGCTGCTCAAATAAATGGCAGGCACCTCTGCTAAGCCCGTGACAATAACAAATGCAGTGAGTGGACACCCTGACAGGGTGGTACTGACATCACATCCCCTTTAGAGATGAGGAGGAAAAAGAGAGAGTGTGGGGTGAAGACACTTGCTGGAGTCAGATGGAGGATAGAGAACCCTCACCCTCTGTACTCCTCCTGCCCAAAGTCAGAGGGATTTGCAGTAAATCTCTCTCTCTCTGAACTCAGCACTCATTTCCCCGAAACTCAGGAAGTGAAGAGATTCAGAGACAGAGGGATGTTTGTCTCAGTGGCAGAGCTGACACTTGCACTCCGACGGCCCAGAACAGGCACCCTGACAACCATGCCCTCTGCTCCCCACGCTGTTTTTACAAGCCAGGAGATTCTTCCTGGAATTGGAAGGCCAAAGTATCCAGAAAGGGAGGTGGGCTCAACTGTAACCCCAAAGCCTCCACGTCTGTAGGGTCTGCCACAAAACCCCAATCACCTTGGCAAGCCGGCCACATAGGACCAGGAGTCGGTCTTGGGACTGTAGGTCTCTACCGACGAGAGAGCTCCATTCTCATTCCGGCCGCCGACGGCCACCAGCATGTCTTCGATGGAGGCCAAGTAGAAATCCACGCGGCGCTGGTTCATGGAGGCCACCTGCGGAGGCGAGACACCTGTACCTTCCCTTCCCCAAACTCGAGTCAGCGTCAACATCCAGCACCGCATCCCCAAACATGCTCCATGAAAGGCACAGCCCCGGAAGGTGAGGTGGTGGCCACATGAGCCTGGGGAGGGGAGCCACACCTGAAGAAAGGGGGGCTCTGTAGGCGGGATTTCTCAGGGCCCCCAGGACCCTCGAGACCTTGTGAATCCCCAAGAGGGGGACGGAGAATTCACTTCCCCAAACCTGTCTGGCCACGTGGCCGACCTTGTGGACTGGAATTCTGCAGCACACACAGGTCAGAACTGCTAATGTAGTGGTTTCCTGAAATAAAAGTTCATCTTTCCCCTCACCCCCCCACAATCAGGTATTTTAAAACTTAATGCTGATTCTCATCCGTGTTGATGGGCAGAAAGTGGTGCTCCACAGAAAATTAGCAATGGAAGACCCAAGTCTTTCTCTTTCTTTTCTAAATCATCCAAGCAGAACACATGAATGAACATGGTCCTGCAGGAGCCCATGTCAGGCTGCGACCGCGATGAAGGTTTGGAGGACGGGCTTCAAAGCTGCAAGCCTCCTTCTACTGCAAGTGCAAGACTTACACCTTGGTTTTAGAGTTTTGAGAATAAAATCAAAAGGTCACCCAAGTCCCTTCTGAGCCTTGAGCTCAGAAAAGCACCGAGTTAAGTAAGAAGACTGAGGTGTGAGTATAAAGATTGAGACAGACTTTCACGGGTGGCCATCTGGTTCTTGGGGGGAAAGGAGCACATGTGCCCATCAACGTGAGCTACAACCACCGACTCTGGAAGGTCAGCATCCCCCCACCCGTTTCCAAAGGGAGAAGCTGAAATTTGGAGTGGGCAAGGACCCGGTCTGAAACCCCCAGCTACCATCTAGCCAAGTTGGGGCGCGAAGCTGGGTCTGACATCAAGACCCAGGCCTGTCCTGGAATCGGCTGGCACACCTGCCGAAGGGCCACGACTCCCAGCAGGTGTGAGCCTTCGTGGCCCCCTTGATCAGCTCCAAACCTGCCCCAAAGAGGAACTCAGCGGAGACTCTGAGACACGGGGAGGTTGTCAGAACCCTGGGTCAATCTTCCAGACCGGTGTCATCCAATATGGTAGCCACTAGCCTCCTGTGGCCATTTACACTCAGATGTAAATTAGTGATAATGAAATAAAATGGAAAACTCAGTTCTTCAGCCCCACGGGCCACATTTCAAGCGCTCAACTGCCACACGCAGCTGGCGGCTACCATATCGGACGGCACAGATGAAGAACGGTTCTGTCGGTGAAGAAAGTTCTACTGCACAGCGATGCTCTGGACACCGACCGTCCCTGCAGAGGGTGGCCAGTCGGCCCTCACCGCCCCCAACCGGGGTGGTGGTGGAATGATGTGGCTTGTCACTTTATCGTCACACCTCATTCAGAAGCAGGGTGGTGGTCAAGGCCCGAGAGAAGGGGGTGGGGGGCAGTCAAGGCTAAGGTTAAGGAGATCAAGTCCTCAAGAGTAAAGAAATAATCTGGCTTTAATCTCACCTTGATCCACTGTTTACAGCGGGGGTCATACCTATAAAGAAGATTGGATGCCGCATCCCCTCCGTTGTCCCGCGAGAAGCTGCCGCCAGCGATGAAGATGAACCCCCCCAGCACGGCGACGCAGTGGTGGCTCCGCCGGGCCGGCAGGGGCGTCTCCTTGACCCACTGCTCGCTCTGGGCGTCCAAGTAGCAGGTGTCGTCGCTGAGCTCCAGACACCGCTCGGAGACCTCGCCGCCCACAAACAGCAGGCACTCCTGGGTGGTGCGGAGGGCCGTGCGCTTGGTCTGCATGACCGGCTGGGCCGCCAGGCTATTGTGGTAGCGCACGGCCTCCTCGATGAAGCCCTCGCAGTTGGCCTCGCGGGGCAGCAGTGAGCACACGGCCGGCTTGACGCGGTGCAGCAGGTCGTTCTTGGGGATGAGCGGGAAGTGGATGTTCTCCAGCACCTGGTAGGCGTGGGCCTCGCGCTCGGGCCGCTGCGTCAGCCACTGCAGGGCCGCCTGCAGCAGGTCATGCTCGCACTCCCGCTGCACCTGGCTGCTGCCCAGGTAGGCGCACAGCTTCTGCACGGAGACGTTCTGCAGGAAGCCGGGCGTGAAGGACAGCGTGCCGAAGCGGCTGAGGATGAAGCCGTCGAGGAAGGCGTCCAGCCGCCTGAGGCTGTAGATGGAGGCCAGCTTCTGCAGGTACAGGTAATTGTCCTCGCTCACCTCCTGCTCCAGGTACTCGCAGCAGAAGTCCACCACCGTCCAGATCTGCAGCAGGTGGGCCGTCTCCAGGACGTAGTCGATGTTGCCACCGTCCAGCACCAGCTCCCCGCCGTACAGGAAGTCCACCACGGCCTTAAGCCCGACGTAGGAGGCGCCGATCAGCTCCACCTCCTTCTGGAAGGCCTCGCGCATGCCGAGGGTGAACATGGAGTTGAAGTAGTCACTGCACACTGCCAGCAGGTTGCGGTGGGCTGGCACGCGCTGCTCGTCGGCCACCAGGACCACGTCGCAGAAGAGGCCGCACAGGCGCTGCTCGTTCAGCCGCTGCAGCACAGTGCTTGAGTGGTCGGCCCAGCGGTACGCCTGCGGTGGCGGTGGAGAGCGCGCGTCAGGAGGGGAGGGGGCCGCCAACCCGCCCCCACACCGCAGGGGCCCAGCTAGCGCTACGCGACCAGCACTGACATACAGTGGAATGAGAGAACAGGCAACAAGGTGTCAGAGCACCTCGCAGAAAGTCAGGGTGTTTCCCTGTACGTGTGCATATGTGTTTGTATATTTCCTTTCTTCCCTTCTTTACAAATAAAAATTTTAACTCAATCTTTCTTTTTCCCTTTGTTTCGTTTTCCCTCTCTCCTCCTTCTTTGTAAACAGAATTCCCCAAAGTTTCCTTCCTTCCCTGTCTCTCTTTCCTTCTTAGTGTGTGTGGGTCACGGCACATAGGTTCGAAAACGCTGTCCTATCGGGAGGGTGAAGTTGCCTGGGGTGTGGCCTCTCAAGTCGGACAGAAGCTGGTGGAACCCCAGCTCCACTGCTCTGCAGCTGTGTGACCTGGGTGAGTCACGAGAAGCCTCTGAGCCTCGGCTCCTGGTCTCCCCCAGGTTTGGTGCGGGGGAGGGGTCATGAGCCAGAACACAGCACAGAGCTGGCCCTAGGACAGCGGAAGCAAAGTCAGCAGCTGTGACCGTCAGTTCCCACGGAGTCGCGGTGCCGACATTTATGCTACAGACACCAGTCCAGGGAGCTAGAGGGTCCCAGAGACTCTGCAATATATCCAGACTAACGTGCTCTTACTTTCAGGGGAATCTTACTTTCAGAAACACGGCTTCAACAGTCATTGCCAGAAAATGTATGTAAACTGCAGGAACGCTGTCTTTTTTCGGGAGCTGTATGTGCCGCAGACCACACTGTGCACTCGCCTGCACACTCTCATTTGAGCATCCCAGGAACCCTCCAACGGAACGTCAGTTGTAACCCCCTTATTCCAGATGAGGAAAAGTGAGCTTCAGAGAGACTAAGGAACTTGCCCAAAGTCCCACAGGGACTGAGGGGCAGGGCTGGGACTTGAACCTAGGTTTGATCCCAGAGCCCAAACCTTTAATCACCACGCTACACTGGAATTAACGAATCTATTAATATGAATAGTTAATAGGAATTAATTCAATAAATTCAGGTCGGTGGACATTGCTTGACTGTTATCTGCCTGCCCTGGGCTTTTGAAGATGCAAAGAAAAATCAGACCCAGACAATGGTTTCTATACCCCGGAAGAACTAATCAGGATATTTCACACTGCTTTATTTATTCCCTATAAAAACAACAAGAAAATTCAACATATGGAAAAACAGACCATTCAGAAATACCAACTAGGTAGCAGGGCGATTCAGGGACGATTGGGGGAAGGGGCGGGGCGGGCATTAAGCCTGAGGGGAAGTGGTGGTGGAAAGGAAGACAGGTGGGTGAGGGCTCAGCAGGTGTGAGCAGCTGGGTGACTGGTGCACAGGTCCTTCTGGGTTACTTCTCAACATGTGTCCTACGGCAGGGGGGTGGTTTTTTCTTCCCTTCCAAATCTGCTCCTTACCACCTCCGATGCATTAGTAATTGGGGCACTTTATTTCCCGGGCCAATTCCCACATCAATCGCTCTGTCTGTGCAACAGTCTTGGGCAATGTCCTCACATTCTAAGGGTACCAAACAGACGTTCCCTAAAGCTTCCTTCCCTTCCCAGTTTACAGAGCCAAGCTCTCCTACCTTACATTACAGGATGGTTTCCTGAAGGTCCAGATACACAGGTATCTCCCTCTATCCTGGTTATTCAGAGAGAGCCAGGCTGGCCTGGTCTGGGCTTCAACACATATTGGCTTGGGGCCCCTCTTGGGTGCGGACTGAAGGCAATGAAAAAGGCACTACAGCGGCAAGCTACCGAGTAATAGAGAAGGCTAGTGTCCTAGAGAAGCAAGTGAGGGGCATCAGGTGGGCTGTCAGCCCACCCCGGGCTCCTGGTTGTTTCCAAGCTGGTGAGGGTGCTGGAATTACCCCGCTTAAAAAGGGGCACACACGCCCCCAGGCTACCGCGTGAAAAGGGAAACAGCCCTGGGGAGGGGCGGGGACTGGGGAGAGCCCCAGATGACAGCTACCAGGGGAGCCACCTGCTGCAGCGAGCCAGCGGCCACTGTTTCTACAGCTGGGTCTCCAGGCTAAGTGGGCACGTTTAATTCTTTACCTGGGTCTTAACTACAGCCCGTTTCTGCTTATTTAGTACAGCAGCAGAGAGCAGAACTAAAAACAGACAAACGTGACTTCCCAACGTTAAACTGGCATCAGTAACTGAGTTGCAACATTCCATATAATTTAGAAACTCCGACCTGCAACATTCTCCAGTGGTATTAACCTGTTCATTCCTTTGTTTCTTACTTTAGCACCTTAATCAGGTGAAGAAACTCAGGATCTAACACTGGGCGGAAAGCAGGTATGGGGTATCTTATATTAGGAAAGAACTCAGGGACTTCCCTGGCGGTCCAGTGGTTAGGACTCCGTGATTCTACTACAGGGGGCACGGGTTCGATCCCTGGTCAGGGAACTAAGATCCTGCAAGCTGCGTGGCATGGCCAAATAAATAAATAAATAAACAAAATAAATAAATAATTAAAAAATAAAAAAGAATTCAGCATCAAAGTGGATCAACACATTTTAGAGCAGATAAATGAACAGCGGCCGCCACACAATGGAAGACTCCACCGCTCCGAGAAGGGCACGATCTACCCGCACATGCAGCAACCAGGCCGAACCTCAGAGGCAGGGTGACAAGAGTAATGAGCCAGGCACCCCGGGGACCCACCCCGACTCCATTTATATAAGTTCAAGGGCAGGCAAAACTGCAGGGCTGGAAGCTGGGTGAGTGGCTGTCTTGATTGTAGGGGCTGGAAGGGTTTGATAATGTTCTTTATCTGGGTGTGTTCAATGTCTAGAAAATCAAGGGTATATTATGATTTGGGCACTTTTTAAATATAAAGAGTTAGGAACATAAATACAATGAACCAAGGGACAGAGAAGCCTATTCCTAAAAGCTTCAATTCAGAGAGAGACAAGCTCAGAATCTGGCTTGGAGACACAAAGATTTCTAGTGCTGCCGAACTTAGAAAGCTACGCTGTCTCTGCAGCCAAGCTCCCAGACAAAGCCCCTTTGAGTCAGCAGCAAGACCCTTCTGGGGTTTCACAGTAGATAAAGCCGAGCTTTGGCAAGAGTCTTCTCAGTCAACTCAAATGGAAACACGAGAGCATTTCTCAGGAGGACCAACCTCCCCTGAAAATTACACCCCGTTTTTCTTTTTTACACACCTGTCGAACCTCGTTCCCCCTTCTTCTCCTCTTATCTATAGGCTGCTCCGAACTCCCTTTATCCAAAATCGTATTTCTTCATCTTTTTTTCAGTCTGCTTTTAAGATATTTTTTTCCTATATAGCTTGCCATGTCATTTTAACACATAATATGTAGTCTATATATCTGTGCGTGTATTATATGTATAGCTTTATACTTTAAAAGAGTAAAATTCTTTCCAGACCCCCAAGAACCCATTTCATCTCCTTGTAAGCAATATCAGCCCCATGGAGAATGCATGATCTATGGTAAACATGACATTTAATCTTCAAAAAAGGACACTTTAAAAAAATTCCCTGGCGGTCCAGCGGTTAGGACTCTGCACTTTCACTGCCGAGGGCCAGGGTTCAATGCGTGGTCGGGAGACTAAGATCCCACAAGCTGCAATGCGGCCGAAAAAATAAATAAAGAAAAGGGTGTTATTAATATTCATAAAGAGACAGGTGTAAATTGGGACTGTCTCACCAACTGGTCCCCCAAACCTTATCTACAGCAGCTGTGGGGAAAGGGGCCGCTCCAAGTCACCTGAAGAGTTTGCTAAAGGTACAGATTTGCAGGTCCTGCTCTGAGATTTTAATTTAGCAGGTCTGGGGTGGGGCCGGGCATATGCACTTCTCATGAGACACCTGCCCCCTCCCCGTCTCCCAGGGTGAGTCTGATGTAGTCGGTGTGCCACAGGTAGGTAGCCTCGCCATGAAGAACCCACCCTCACTGGCTCCTAGGGTCTCAGAAGGTCACGACCGGGGAAGACTCTGGGCCCTTAACATCCAGGTATACAAAGTGTTGCCCCCACTATAAGGTTGTGGACTGGCTTCTCCACGGACACAGCCTTGGATTTTTTGAGCCCCAAGTGGAAAGAGAAATCCCACGGCGTCCACCCTGTCCTGTAGATGCCAGGTGTGGGATAAACGAGTCAAGTTGTGTTTCTAACATCCCTCGCACCCCCCAACCCCTGCTCTCTCTGATTTTATGGTTTTTCCACTCCTTGCCTGTGCCACCTCTAGTCATTGTTAAGGAGATTAACACCGACACCAAGGACAGAAAATCAGTCTGCGCAATAAGAACGAGCTCATCAGAAGAATCTCATGCTTCTTTGGCAATGTGCACAGGCGGTGAGCGACCCATTCACAGACCTTTGAGGATTCGCTGATCTTGGACGGCCGAGACACTCGCGTCTGCCGGCTTCCCTCCATCATAAACAAGATCGCAGCCCTGCGACAAGAACAGGACTTCTGAGCGTGTAGTAATAACTCGAGGTCATTCATGAATCGCAGGCTCTGCTGGCAGGTATCAGTGACAGCAAGAGCGAAACAGTCACATGGAGGAAAGAGGGAGAAAAAACTGTACTACAAAGAACTCCCTTACTCCGAGAGCTGGAAAAATCAGAGGGTTAGAATCAGATAGAACATTTAATAAGTGTTCCTTTTTCACCTCATCACGTCTTTTAGCCCACCTCCTACAAGTACCTACCTTTGGATGCTTGAGCTGAATTAGGCCTTTTCGAGAGATCAAGATTATAATGACAAGTTATCATTTCAGAACCCAGACTATGACCCTGGAACCAAGCTGACATGTGCTATCTCATTAAACTCCCACAACTATCTGGCTGGGCTGATGTCACTTAACCCATTTTATCGATGAGGATATTGAGCTCAAGGTCACAAAGCTAGTGAATGGCTGGGAATCAAACCTGAGTCTGTCCGGCTTCAAAACGGGACAGACATGGGCCCTTCACTGGGATGCATGGTTGAACGTGGCCTAATCTTTAAAAATCTCATACTTTTAAAATTTCATGAAGTTAAGGATATGATGCAGTGACGACTACCAAGGATAAAATACGTTCTAGACACAGGCACTGTCTTAAGTGTTTCCTGTGTCTCACTGATTTAATCCCCACAACAAGCCCACCAGGACAGCTCTATTACTACCCTCAGTTTATAAAGGAAGAAGCTGACGGCAGTGAGGGGAAGTAACTTGCCCAGCGTCACACACAGGAAGAAGCAGACCTAAGGAGGCTTTCCTGCTCTCAATCCCTGGGCTATTTCACTTGACCATTAAAAAAATGCCCACAGGCAGGAAACCTCTGCAGGGGGAGCCCATGCCCTGGCTGGAACATGCAGGATAAACTTGACCAAGCAACTTAACTTCTGTAGACTTCATGGTTGAATCTACGGACTGGGCTGGTGCATCAGGGGATGTTAAGGTTTCTTCCAGCTTTGAAAAGTCAAGCAACCCACTGACAGCACAGAGCCGGGCTTTGGGGGACCTTGGAGGATGGGGGGCACACAGAGGAAGGATTAAGCTAGCAATATGGGCACAAGTCGCATACTGGGACTGAGGATTTAAGGAGGAATTCTTCCCGCTGCTAGCGGAGTTGAAAAGAGTCAATCTGTTACCTACTGAACACACAGCCTTTGCTAAAAAGGAACAACGTGACAAGGAGTCAGCTCTGTGTCAAAATAATCAGGGACACACAGAGGGGGCTCCAGCGCTCCCACGGAGGATGGGGGGACAAATCCAGGCACGGTCCACCCTGCCAGCTCCCTGGGGGGAAGGAAGGGACAACGAGATTTCTCTCGACAAACTAGCAATTTTGTGACAAAGACCAGCTGTCCCCACCCCTGTCCTTTCTGTCTGCTCCTAGGATGCTGGGGGGCTCAGAGACGGAAGAGAAGGACACCAACATCCAACCTACTGCTCACCCCTGACTTCCTTGTTTCACCTTCATCCTCTGAGACAGGTGCCACCATCGTTTCTGACACCCAGGCTCAGGTGGCCGTGCGGCCCCGCCCAAGGTCACACAGCAGACAGTCTGCACCACCGCAGGCAGCCAGCCAGGGCTCAGGTCTGCCTTTAGTGCTAAGAGCTTTCTTTTCTAGGCCAAGATTTCTAAAGAGAGTATCCCCTTGTGGAGGCTCCCTTTTGTCTGCGGGAAAGTGGTCTGGAGCTCACTGCTACAGGAGCGTGGATATTAGCTGCCTCCTGTGCTTTCTGCAAGCAGGTGAGGGGTCAAGGCCACACGCAGGGACGGTGGCGATCCCCAGTGAGGCGTAAAAGGTCTTTTAGTAAACACGGGAACCGAGGCCGCGTCCGGACGGGAGGGTCCCCACGGAGCCTCCTCTCCCGGCTCCTTCCCCGGGTTTCGACCCTGAACGTGCCCGACCGCAGCGCTCGGGGAAACAGCGTCGTGGAGGTGGACGCGGACGCCCGCCGGCACCCACCCATCCCGAGTCTCGCCCGCAGGGTCTCCGGGGACGCCTCTGTCGCTCGCTCGGACCCAGCACCCCCTGGCGGAACCGTCGGCACAACGGCCGCCCGGGCGGGCTCGAGCCGGCTGCGAGGAGGCGGAGCTGGGTTGCGCCCGGGGCTGGCGCCCGCGGCGGGACGCGAGGACAGTCACTCACCTGGGCCGCGCGGGCCGGCCGCACAGGCCACACCTGTCTCACCTGAGGGGGCGGCGGCCCCCTCTCCACCCCCCACCCCGGCCCCTTGGCGGCCCCTCCGCTCGCCCCCGGCCCCGCGGTCCACCCCCCGAGCACAAAGAGATCCCGGGGGCGGAACCGGGTCGCAGCTCGCGGGGCCGGGGACCCTCCCGAGGCAGGCCCACCCCCCCGCCCCGGCCCCGGTCCCCGGACGGCGCGCGGCTCTCGGCCCGGGCAGGAGCGGGGCGCGCGCGGAGACCCACCTGGGAGGGCGCGCTACGGGCGCGGCGCGGGGATTCCGAGCGGCGGGGCCGGGCGGGCGGGGCGGCGGGGCCCGGGCGTCGGAGCCCGTGGGCCGGCCGGGTGCGCGGCCATGGCTCCGCCAGGAAGTGCGAGGCCGAGGGCGGAGGCGCGCGCGGCCAATGGCGGCGGCCGGGAGGGGGTGGGCTCTGGCGGCGCGGGGGCGGGGCCTGCCCCAGGCGGGCGGGGCCTGCGCGGGGGCGCGGGGGGCGCGGCGTCCTCGCCCAGCCTCGCCCAGCTGTCCACCCGGCCGTAGGACTCGCTTGTGGCCCAGGCGGGCCACTCACAATCACGCACCGCGAAATTCCTACTGGGTGTCGCCCGCCGTCTTAGGCGCGGGGACACGGCGTGGAGGGACAGGCACGGTCCCGGGCCTGGGGGACCGGAGTGCTGGGAGGGGCCATCGCGGTGGCACCTTCGCACCCTCACCTCCTTCCAGCCTTAGCTCGGTCGGCCTCTGCGTTCACCCTACGGTGAGTCCTTCGCTGACCCCGTGATTAAAGTCACCATCCCTCTCTCCTAACCCCGTTTCCAGCTTTCCGCTTCACTTAGCTTTTACCACCGTCTAATCTTCTGAATCATTTCCTTGTTCATTTGACTTATTGTCTCTCTCCCCCACTAGAAACCCTCCAGGGCAGGGTTTACTGTCGGTTTTATTCCTGGCTGGGCCCCCAGGGCTGGCACCTAGTAGCCACTCAATAAATTTTCGAGGAATGAATGAGTTTAACCATCACGGATCTATCCTTGTCAAACTGATACTACAGCTTGGATAAACCTTGAAAACATTATGCTAAGTGAAATAAGTCAGACACAGAAGGACACATATTGTATGAGTCCATTTATATGAAGTGTCCAGAACTGGCAAGTCCATAGAGACAGAAAGATTAGTGGTTACCCAGGGCTAACCAGTTGGGGGTAAGTGGAGTGGGTGGCTGTTAAGAGATTTGGGGCGGGGGGAGGGTGATAAAAATGTTCTGAAATTAGGTGGTATTGATGATTGCGCAACTCTGAATATACAAAAAAACCCATTGAAATGTACAATTCAAAAGGGTGAATTTGGGATTTCCCTGGCAGTCCAGTGGTTAGGACGTGGCGTTTTCACTGCTGTGGCCTGGGTTCAATCCCTGGTCAAGGAACTAAGATCCTACAAGCCGCGCGGCGCCGCCAGAACCAAAAAAAATATATGGTATGAGCTGTATCTCAGTAAAGCTGTAGTGCTCGCTTCGGCAGCACATATACTAAAATTGGAACGATACGGAAAATATTAGCATGGCCCCTGCACGAGGATGACACGCAAATTCGTGAAGCGCTCCATATTTTTGTATGGCTGATTCACTTTGTTATAAAGCAGAAACCAACACACCATTGTAGAGCAATTATACTCCAATAAAGATATTAAAAAAATAAAGCTGTTACAAAAGCAAAACCAAACAAAAAAACTTCTCTCTGTCCTTGCTTTTCTATTCCCTGCCTTCTCTGGGAAGGATTGAGAGCGTCTTTTTTTTTTTTTTTAATAAAGAATGCTCTCTTCGTGGTACAGGGAGGTACCTTTTTCTTTTAAAATTTATTTATTTATTTATTTATTTTTGGCTGCATTGGATCTTTGTTGCTGCGAGTGGGCTTTCTCCAGTTGCGGCAAGCGGGGGCTACTCTTCGTTGCGGGGCGCGGGCTTCTCACTCTGGTGGCTTCTCTTGTTGCTGAGCACGGGCTCTAGGCGCACAGGCTTCAGTAGCTGGGGCACACGGGTTCAGTAGTTGTGGCTCGAGGGCTCCAGAGCACAGGCTCAGTAACTGTGGCGCACGGGCTTAGTTGTTCTGCGGCATGTGGGATCTGTCCAAGACCAGGGCTCGAACCCGTGTCCCTGCATTGGAAGGCGGATTCTTAACCACTGCGCCACCAGGGAAGCCCCCAGGTATCTCTTTAAAGCCTTACTTGCCCATCTTTGAACCCTCCTTGACCAACAAAGCTAATCTCACACCCCAACAAAGCTAATCTCACATCTTGTTCTATGTCTGTATCTTGACGTGCAAATCTCCACTATTACATGAATTCATGTACTTCTTCATTCATTAATTCACTCAGCAGACTTTTAGGGAATTCCTACTATGTGCCAGGCACTGTGGTAGTTGCCAGGGATAGAAAGAAGATAGTTTCAAGGATTTTAGGGAGGGAGACAAACAAATAAATGAGCAATTACTGTATCCGGGTCAGTCCTGTGTTAGGGATATATTCAGAGTGCTATGGGTGGGATGTATTCTTTTTTATAGCTATACTTAAAGATTCTATATAGAAAGATATGGATAAGGACAGTTAGATATAGATAAAGGTATATATGGATCTCTCTACGCATACATGGATCTATCTATCTATCTAGAGAGATTTAGCTATAGATTTTTTATTGTATTTATTTATTTTGGCCGTGCCACATGGTATGCGGGATCTTAGTTCCCTGACCAGGGATCCAAGAACCCATGCTCCCTGCAGTGCAAGCGCAGAGTCCTAACCACTAGACCGCCAGGGAAGTCCCTAGATATTTTAGCAGCCTATAACTTGGCATGGATGTCTGTCTTCCTGGTGATGGGTTCTATATGAATGAGAAGATGTAGAAACTGAAGGGACTGCCTGTAGTAAGGGCCTGGGACATGCTCAGGAATCCCCACGTGACACTGACCTGAAACACGTGCAGGCTTGGCTAAGCTGACTTTGTGCTGTTTTACCTATCACCACCTGGTGAACCATCCTTTCACTTTTTTTTCCTTTACGTCTCATTTTCTCTCAAATTAGAAAAGTCACGCATGTTTAAGTTAACTTGGAAAATACAGAAAAGTCTGAAAGGAAAAATAAACCACTCACTCCTGCACTGTCCAAAAATAATTATTAATACTGTTGTCTCTCCATATTTTCCCCTTATGTAGTTTTTCACCATAATATCACCACTACCACCACAACCCCTGTACAGCTCACATGTGCTACACGTTGCTCTGAGCTCCCTGTACATATTCACTCATCTCATCTCCTGGACTCTTTGAGGGAGGTACTGTTTACTTTCTCTGTTTACAGAAGGGGAAACTGAGGCCTGGAAAAGTTAACTCTGTGCCCAAGGTCACAGAACTCATAAGGAGCAGAGCTGGGCTTGGAACCTCAGCAGTCCTGTGTGTATTTGTTCCCATGCCAGAGACAACCTGGCTTAGAAAAGACGGGTTTTTCCCAATATTCAAATGTCAGTGATCAGACTTGTTTGGGTTCTGAATTTGGTCAGAGCTGAGCACCGCAGCCTGCGGCCTAGCCTTGTCTTCTGTGCCATCCTGCCTTTGTGCCGCGATAAGAGTGAGGCACGCTGCATGCAGAGAACTTGGAATACACAGACAAGCACAAATGGGAAAACATTACCCACCCAAGGAGAACAGCTGTCAGTGCTTAAGTGTAGACCGGCCCAGTGTTCCCCATGCATCCATGCATGTGACTCCATGTGGCGCAGGCCCTTTGGATACTGCCCCCCCCCCACACTTCTGCAAATATCACGAGCTTTTCTCATGTCAATAAGTTCTCTTCTATTGGATTGTGGACTTGACCCTCCCTCATTTTGGGGGACCCAGCTGGCTTCAATGTTATCATAACACAGGTGAACATTCTTGCACCCACGCCTGATGGTAAAATGAAGTTGCTGGGTCAGAGGAGCGCCTGTTTGTAAGGCTCTGACCTCCCCGCAAAGGCTATCTTGGGAAGTACCCCTAGTCAGTGGCTCAGCACCCCATAATTTCTGAGATTCAGCCCCATCAAGTGGAACCGGGGCCAGGTGGTTCCCTGGTTGTTCATAAAGCAATAAAACAGCTTTTTCCTTTCTTCTGCAGTTTCTCCCGCGACCCGTTGTGGTGCTTTTTATTTGCTGTTTCACGCCTTTCTCCTTTGGACACGGGTACTTGTGGGACTTGTGCAGATAGACCCTCACAGGCACCTAGGGCCATGTGAGCTGGTGGGCAGGGCAGAGGCTGCCCCAAGCCTTCTTGCAGTACCCAGGCCCCTGATGGGTGACAGTGATTGCCGGGCAGGGGCAAAGATGCCTGGTCAAGAACCGTCCTGGACTATGTATGAAACAGATAACCAACAAGGACCTGCTGTATAGCACAAGGAACTATACTCCATATTTTCTAATAACCTAAAAGGGAAAAGAATCTGAAAAAGAATAAATACATTATATATGTATAACTGAATCATTATGTAATACACCTGAAATTAACACGACACTGTAAATCAACTATACTGCAATTAAAAAAAAGAAACAGGGGCTTCCCTGGTGGCGCAGTGGTTAAGAATCCGTCTACCAATGCAGGGGACACGGGTTCGAGCCCTGGTCCGGGAAGATCCCACATGCTGCAGAGTAACTAAGCCCATGTGCCACAACTACTGAGCCTGCGCTCTAGAGCTCGCGAGCCACAACTACTGAGCCCGCGTGCCACCACTACTGAAGCCTGCATGCCTAGAGCCCGTGCTCTGCAACAAGAGAAGCCACCGCAATGAGAAGCCTGCGCACCGCAATGAAGAGTAGCCCCCGCTCCCCGCAACTAGAGAAAGCTTGCATGCAGCAACGAAGACCCAATGCAGCCAAAAATAAGTAAACAAAAATATATTAAAAAAATAAAAAAGAAAAGAAAAGAAAAAAAGAAACAAATGGTCCTG